GAGTCCAGTTCAGACGAGTACGACTCACGCGTGTTTGGTTAAGGCTTGGCTTGATACTAAATGGAGGATGGGTTTCTTTTTCTTCTTTTTTCAAATTTATAATTTTTTTTTTTTTGGGGGGGGGAGGGGGTCCCCTTTCATCATCGGTCTCAGAAATTCGCCATGAATGTTGCTGCAAAGTGGTGAAGAAGGCCGCATTCAAAACAGCGAACTTACTAGTCCCCGGATCAAATGTGGCGCCCCATTGAAAAGCTTGCCATCGTATCTCCTAATAGACACTGAGCAGATTCCCCTTGGGGATTACGCAACATTCGCGGATCTGTTAGCACGCTGCCGTGAATGCGGCCAAAGTGACCTCGATGGTCCCTCGAAGCCACCTTTTTTGATCCACAATATATTTTATCGGTTGCTAAAGAATACATGTTTTGAACACAAGTGGGGCTGTTCACAACAGTGTCAAATATCTTGCACCCAGAGACCATCGGTAGAGGTGTCATTTTGGAGTGCAATTGTCTCACAAGTCGCTTGCTCTCCAACAGGTCTCACAGGTGGTAGTAGAATCTTAAGTCAATCGGCATCCTGGTTGCGCACCTTTAAGATTATCTTTCATCTGCAAGCATTGCAAAAATTGAGCTTTTGTTATTTTGTGATGATTTCTTATTACGACTACTGTAATTGGTATAATCAGTCTCAATTTGTCCTTTGTCATTGGCAACCTTGCGGGGTCTTCAACAGCCACCAAGTTTAACTACATCGCAACCACTGGATATTGGCTTGTCAAGATATTATTGATGTTTCCACAGGAACCTGATGCGAACATTGGCGGTCTTTAAGAGCTACATTCAGCAGCAGTATTGCAGCTACTAAGGTGACATTTGAAAGTCCATTGTCATTTGGGAGTCTATCACGACCTGTGAGTGTTGTGGAGATTATTGTTGGAGAGTGATTATTACTGGAGCGTGAAGTGAGACATGTGAGGTCTTGTTCCATCGTTATGATACTTCTGGCGAAAGTCACAGGTCGCAATATTTGTTTTTTGAACACTTTCATACACTTGTGAATCCCAAGGGTACCGTTGAGGAGTGATAGAGGGCATGAGAGAGGGAGAGAGAAAGAAAGAGCGACAGAAACACGCTCACACACACACACACACACACACACACACACAGATTTTGTATGTCAGATAATAATCCAGGATAACAAAATCATCGCTGTTTACTTAACTTGCTCTGAGTAGGGAGGTGAACCTCATTCATATTCTTTGTCTAACGGTAAAAGGCATTTTGTCAGTCTAAGAATGTTCTCGTCTGATCACACCTTCCGTAAAACCATTAAGTAAAGAGAAATTTCATTAATTGTAATTGAACGCAATTCAGTTTGTGAAACTGATTTTTTGATAAATGACTCAAAGACCCCTGTCGGTGTTGAAACGCAATAGGATTTATTGCGTTCTGTCAATGTACTGTATGTTAAGACCTATTCGATTGTTTAATGGCATAATTGACGTAATAAAACGGTGCAGTGGAAATAGAAATAGTAACAGTTCAGACGAAAGTAGACGCGTGTATTGAAGGGATGTTTTATGTGGAAATACTAAGCTAAAAATGCAGTAGCTTACTCTAGGTATCCAAGTGTCGCTAGACAGGGAGTTTAATGTTAGACTGTCCTTGAAATAGGTGCTTCTTAGATATGTCATATTGTTCAAAGTTCACGGACGAGAAGCTTGTCGTTTCCCATTTTTTAATGCCAGCTTATCCACGTAAGCCCTTTATTTTCTGGATAAAGTTACAGATAAATAACTATGAGTAAAACTAATTGGTATGGATTGGTAACGCCAAAATATAATGATGTCAGAAATATTGTTATGTAATGATACGTGCATGTATGTTCTCATTTTTTTTTGTATTTGTCTATCGATTGCACTACAGATTACACGCCAGAAACGCCAAATCTTTATTTAGATTTTCGGATATATTGTTTTAGTTAAGCACTAATTTTGGATTGAAAAAAAGCAAACGTGTTCTCTTAACCCCATTCTAACCTTTATCAATTTTTTACTCGGTACCTTTGACTTTCATTCACATTTCATTCAGCGAAAGATTACTACTAATTTCTCACAGCAGTTTCGGAAACATTACTTCTGCTTCAATTTATCCTGGACATGATACTGTATCCTAAAAACTGCAGCGTGACCTTTCAGTCGTCTGCTTCTTTACGTTAATGCACTCATTCCAGAACTTAAAGTCACAAAACTTTTTACCTTTTTGCATGATGAGCGTTTAATTTTTTTCTCAGAAGACCAGAGGCAAAGTGAATTGAAAAGATACGCTGGCGTGTTTCTTAAAATTGACGAAATGGACGCACTATTGGCATATTTGTAACACTGGAATGCCCGGAGCAATTTCCTCCATTACAATTAAGATTCGCCAAAAGTAGATGACGCTCGCTGTGGAAATGCGTAGAAAAATATTAACCAAACCACAGTAAGTAGAAATAATAACTTCCCAAGGACAATTGGCTTTCCTTGTTAAATTCACCCCTCTTTGCATCTCCACTCGCATGGCTCTGTGAGTTTGACATACATGTAGATTGAAAATATCAAACAAAAATAGAATAAAAGACCGATTAATTCAAACACATGCCTACCACATAAGTAAAATGATACCATTGTGCACATATACAATTCTACATGCAGGCAACTATAGCTACCGCGTTATTTGAAATTACAGAGGAAATTAACTTGACTTAATTGTAACACTTTTACGCTTTGATGAAATGACCAATTTTTTGGTGCCCATTTACCTTTGATGGATTATAATAAACTGTACACAATAGGAACCCTCGTGTTGGTTAAAACTTCAATCAGATTGCAATAAACCAATCGCCTACGGCATTACTGCGTTGTATTCTTATGCATTCCTGGTCTTTAAACTTGGTAACATTTCATCTTTACATTAAGACCTGTCCTTTCCATCTGTGTCTAGGCCAAATGGCAGCTTTATCATCCATGGTGTGAAGGGTTGCGCCCTATTCCCCTGCTTTAGTGCAAAAGCATTAAATTGCTGTACCATAAATAAGATGATGATTGGTTGGCGGTAATATACAACGTAATGTTTTATGATTACTGGTACAGGAAAGAGAGAGAGAGAGAGAGAGAATTACCTAGGTCTAAAATATAATTGGCATATGGTCTCTCTCTCTCTCTCTCTCTCTCTCTCTCTCTCTCTGTTTTTCAATATTTGATGGCAGACAGCAAAGGTGGAGTAAATTAATACCGTGCGTCTAATTGATGACGTACATGTAAGCCGGTATCCAGAGCTCAAGGATATATAACTACACTTCACACAGCTCAAGGCACAATGTTTAACATTTCATTTAAATTGACCACACCTACCATGTTCACTGTGATGCCGTCGAGCTTCACTTGTAAACTAGATAAATACCATGTCAGTTGAGCTGTTCTAAGACACCTGACGAGTAATTATGGCCTACACTTTTATGACAAATGTTTCAAAATAACTTTGCTGTTACCATAATAAATCCTAATCGCATATGAAAATTTACAAATAGAAAAGATCCAACTTTTAACCCAAATAATACCACGTGACTTTGTATTCCTAAATTATACAAAAGGCAATTCCTCAATGCTTTGCACGGCAAATTCAAATTCACGTGTAAAGCCTTTTTCAGAACACCAAATCAGTATACATGCATAAAATGTGGACAACAGCAAAACAATTTAAAATCCTATTGTCAAAAACGGCAACAGATTTTATAGTCTCCACAACGACCCTATCATCTTTCAGTCTCTGAAATATCTCCCAGTCTATCGAGTGGATATACACAAGTGCTATGCCAGGTATACATGCAAAGGAAAGTCTCCAATCTAGGCACAGGAACTTTTCCCACAACCGTATATGCCCAGGCCCCGGTTTCATTTAAAAAAAAAAAAAAAAAAAAAAAAAAAACTTAAGTCTGGTTCCTTGTCTAAGAACTTCCAAGTTTGAGCTTTTAATTAAAATTACCAAGGTAACATGGTCACAAGGGCACATCTTACCCTATCAGGAGCAGTGTAACAGTACTCCCATGGAAATCCTAATCAACTAAGCCATGAAACTGACTTACGTTTAGTGCCAGCGCCCATCTGCCTATGTGGATCCAGAGTCCCTCTTCAGTGTGGTGTCAACGGCCAAACTCTAACCGCCGTTTTTCATCTGTATCGGTGGAATGGCACTTCTCTGTTGTGATTTAATGCGGTAGTTGCTGGCAAATTATAGGAAACTGTTTTGAATTGTACAGCACGAATCGCTGAGGTATATGCTATGCAAACGAGAGCGAAGAGCGAGTGGATGTCCCATTCATAGTCTGACCCAGAATTTTACAGAGGGGGTAAGGCTAAAAAATACCCTTTTTATACCTTTTTATGATAAAATTTTTTGAATGCAGGGGGGGGGGGGGCGAAGACGAAGAGATGCTCTTATTCTGTCCCATGAAGTGGATACAACTATTGTGGCGCAAAAATATTAGAATGACAAATATCAGCATATTAAGGAAGAAGAAATTGTTAAACTAAATGTAGATTTGAAATGCATCTGCAACTTAGATTGTAACCAAGGACACGACACAATGTCTGATGATCGCTCTACAGGTACTCTAAGGTAATATGAACTGCATTACTAGTTTAATCTACAAATGCGGTAGCTGTGACGACAAACAGTCGATTTTGAATTTTATCACTACAGGTATATCTCAGCCAATCGTGTGTCTTAACTGCATGCGAACGTGGTTTCACTCACACCGTGCTAAATTCTTCTATACAGACTTATCTACATGTTTGACTGGAAGTTCATGGATTACATGTCTCTTAATTGTCAAGGTTCTTAAGATTTGGAAGCCCTGCTATTGTTACAGTTAATTTGCTTGTGCTGAAGAGTGATACTCAATACATCAACAAAACTATTCGTTCGATCATAAATGCAATCAATAATCTAACTCTTGTCGATGCTTGGCAATCTCATTTTATTCAAACCACCAACGAGGCATTTTTTAGAAAACACCATCAAAATCAATGGTTTATATGTATTCGTAACATGTGCAGAGCCGTTACCAAAACACCCTGTTTTTTCAAGGTTTTTTGCATAGTACACATACCCATTATTACCTTAGGGCAAGCAGGGTAAAGTCAGTGCTCTAAACTTCAGGATGTCTTTAATGTGGTCAGTCTACTGGCGAGTACATTTACAATGAGTGGGAGGACAGTAGCCTGCCATACAGTTGTTCCTGCACCAAGTCTTCATGCCGAAGCGTATAGCCTGAGGACCCACCCACTCACACACCAAGCGCCCTTTATTGGGCTTGGCAGGTCGCTTGGTTGTCGTTGGTTCGGGAGTAGTTACTTTTGCTGCTGTTGGTTTTACGGTGGTAGTCGGTTTCTCCGTGGTAGTGGTGGTCGTAGATGGAGTAGTTGGTTTCATGGTTGTTGTTGGTTCTTGCGTGGTAGTCGGTTTCTCCGTGGTAGTGGTAGTTGTAGATGGAGTAGTTGGCTTCATGGTTGTTGTTGGTTCTTGCGTGGTAGTCGGTTTCTCCGTGGTAGTGGTGGTCGTTGATGGAGTAGTAGGTTCCACTGTCGTAGTTGGTTTTTCAGTGATAGTCGGTTCCTCCGTAGTTGTGGTAGTTGAGAAAGTAGTAGTAGGTTCAACTGTTGTCGGTTTTGGGGTGGCAGTCGGTTTTTCAGTGGGAAGAGTAGTCGTTGCAGTGGTAGTGGTAGGGATTGTATTGGACACTGTAGTTCTTGAGGGTGTAGTTGTAGTTGTGGTAGAGGGCTCTACGGTAGAAGATGCGGTAGTAGATGGCACCGCGCTGGTGGACAAGTTGCCTGTAGATGACCCGCTGTCATCAGCGACTGAAACAAGAAAAGCTTAAAACATGTTGAATCTAGACCAAACTGATATATAATCAATTACTGAACTGTCCGTAATAATTGCGATTCCGGTGGGAAGGCAACGTACATGTACACTGTACATTGTCCCTGCACAAACGATTGTCTTATTAAAGTAGGTGAAAAAAGGCTTACATGAACCTAAATTATTTGTTTTAATTATCTCACGCACCCCGTACAGTATGTCCGTAGCACTATGTCCGTAACACTATGTCCGTAACACTACAGTGTATGTCCACAACAAGGAAAATGTAACATTATAAATACCTATGGCAACGTCTGCGCAGTTAATAAACTCTTCCTGTGGACCACAGCCAGTACAAGCACGACCAGTATCTGGGTCAGTGCCCCAGCTATTACCTAGAAAAGTTTGAAAAGAAGCAGGTTTGATGAGAGACGTATGGAATGGCACAGGTAGAGAAAGTTTGTATCCTTGGGGTGGGTGGGGTAGGGGGTTGAGGCATTTCACATCCATCCCAGTCAGTTATATACCCCTTTTTGTGTTATTTCCTGTGGATTGCTTTGCGATATGGAAATGTGGACGTTTTGTAAATGCGCCTTGCTGACAATTCAAAAATAACCATATTGCGTCATTTTATCAGGATACGTACAAAGCATACCAGGCAATGCAGCTTTGCCAACGAGATAGCTTCGATATTCAGAAATATATGTTGTTAATAATGTTATTTTTAACAAAACAACTCCTGAAATGATTTTAAAATCAAGACTTCACGTACGTAGATTAAGTATTGTTCGTAACGCAATTTTACACCATTCAAAACGATGGAATGCATGAATATAACTCACACTTTCATATAAAAGGAGAAAATGGACCCCTACCTGTATGGTATTTCCACTGCATAACGCACTGAGAACACACCATGCCAGACGGCAGCTTGTACTTCATCTTGTAGACACTGGCGCCACCTGTGATAGGGAACCGCACACCACTGTCGTCTGCTCTCTGTAGAGGCAGAATTATTTGAAAGAAAAAACGTTCTAAGATAAGGACTTGGTGTTCTCGGGATTTATTTATACACTGTACGTAATTTTTAACCCGGTGTTTAATTACAAGCACTTAAATCGTTGAAATATGCTGCTTATTGTGCCGTTATGGGACATATAAAAATCGTGATTGGTTATTGCACGTAATAGTTTACAACAGTAACAAGTAGAATGTCACTATCAGTAAAATTCACAATTTAACTTCACAATTGACATCTTATCAACGCACGTCGAAAAAGTCGATGTGAATGGAAAGTAAGTTAAGCAATCATACTGATGAGAGCGGATGGGAGGGTGTGTGGAAGGAAATGTCCTTACCCTCAATACGTGTTTATCCAAACATTCCTGGCTTGCAGGTGTGTTGGGATCATTATGAGGGCAAATCCTGAACTCGAAATATCCCAGATGAGCCGCAGTCAACTCCACAGCTATATCGATGACGTCTTCTGATTGGTAGGTGCGCACGATGGTGCCGGTTGCGTAGGGACCGCCCGCTTCATGATCACGTGGTCCGTCATACGGGTCACCACAGATGCCACATTTCCCGCCATTTGTTACCCATTGTCTCTGAAAAGTAAATGATAAATAAAGTAAATAAACAAAGGAGACAGCAATCAAACAGAAATAAACAGAATTGACATTTACTTCTGTCTTTTCCCTCTCAACATCCGGGCCTTTCATTTGGACAATTTTTGTATTACAGTCATTTTGATTTATCTCGATTGTACGTATTTTGCTTTACTTTCATGTAGTCTGTCAAAAACATCAAAAGTGCATTAGAATGAGGTTCCCAAAACAGTTTATTTCTCGAATTCTGATTTCATATAAACATGGGCGGAGGCCTTAATCCAACTTTGTAACTCAGAGACCAGGTTCCTATGCGATACAAAGTGCAGCAAATACTATACAGGGACAAAATTTATATTTCTTTTGTTATTCCAATACAAAAAGTAAAATAAATTAAAGATATCATGTGACACGTCCACGTACCCTGGAGCCTCCGCAAAACAGTCCATGGTCGTTGGTGTTGGTTGGCGTTTTGAACCCGTATCTCCACGCGCTATTCCGGGAAGGAGGATCGATTAAACGCCCGTGACCAGACACCTCAGCGGTGACAAGAAACCCGACCAGAACAAGAAGCAGTAAGTCTGACATTGCAAAGACACTGGTGACCACGCAATGTGCGGTATACTCGGTTGACTTACAAGCTCCAACTGAGAAGGTTATCTTTTGGGTTAGGATTTAAACGATCGTTTGGTCACGACTTGCCACCTTTGCAATGGTGGGTGGTCCAGGTACTACATGTACATGTAGTGGAGGTGTAAAGCACACAGGATGTGGTGAGTTCAGGGACAGATCTAGGGTTATTTGAAGGGGGTCTGCGGATTCGAAGCCGACCCCCTCCTCTTGGTTAGGGTTTCAGGCCCTCCCTTACACCCCCCTAAACCCGCCGCTGGAATTGTTTTAATGACGCATGACAGTACTTGGTCCCCATCATTTACATTCTGTCTCCACATATTACAAAATATAAGGAACCAGCCTTTGTAATATCAGGGTCAAGCTAAAAACTTTTCAATTACCCCTCGTTATCTCCCTCTTGTACATGTGGCAGTCGGAGACTCAGGAACTAACGTGTGAACGGAACATGAGGTGCTTATCTAATCTCGGTCATGGTCTCACATTCTCAAACGTAAAGGTCAACTCGAGGTCAAGGCGATCCGCTCTGCACTTAGATTCGATATTATAAAGGGGTGGATTAAAGCCGTCTAGATCTTATGGAAGACGGTCAGAATTTTTTTAAGTTTACATTGACGGGTATCTAATTTTTTTTTGTCAGAAGAGGATCGAAATTTTAGGATGGATTAAAAAAGACAATTTGGAAGACTGTCAGTAAATATATCTGGAGCCGCCCCTGTTATTCCATGTAAAATTTAATAATTTAGTTCTTAAAGACTGGCGTTCTTCTTTGATCTTCACCGGACATGGTCAAGAAGAAAATGGCATGGTGTTTTTTTATCGCAGCCATGTTAAATGTGTAGAACATATGGTTTTTATATAAAGTGAAACATGCAAAACAAAACGATAATTTTATTTGTACCCTGCATTTCCTGAGACTTGAAATTTCACTTTTTCTCTATACGTAAGGTATATTTTCAGGTAGCAATTATAAAAGAGCCTGGAGTGGAATCATTGCCTATCTTGTATGCTTTGCAAAGGAAGACAATGCTGGTATGATGCGCACATGATATTATAATAAAATTTGAACCCACATATTATCACCTTTAGTGGTCCTTCTACGGTACATACGTACATGCTTTAATTGACTGATCACAACTAAGAAATTAACGTTATTGTCTTATAAATGTTATCGGTGCGATTTCCTTGATATGCTGATTCTTAGCCATTGATTGGAATGTTAGTGAATTGTTTGTGCAGTGTATTAACTCGCTGGCTATTTAGATCTGTTACCATTAAATCATTCAACATATATGTAATCTAATGTGCGTCTTAATTAGTTGTGGCAGATGGTGCACATATCATCTACATACTGGTATCTCAACCAGTGGGGGGGGATTGGGCAGGATCCCAATACGGCTTCCTCAAACTCAAAGTTCTTCGTATACAGATTGGCCACAATTAATTTCAATACATAATAATAATAATAATAATAATAATAATAATAATAATAATAATAACCATTTAAAGTCTAAAATCCGTAAAAGTTCAGAAAACTTTACAATGATAAAATAATGAAATTGATTATTAAAAAAAACATAGTTAAGACATCAAATTAAAGGGTACACTTCAAATTACATTAACAGTATTATACTTAAAACAACTTCAACTGCAAATGTATATTTAAGGTGCTTGATTTTTATACAGGTGTACTAGTATTTCAAAATCAAATTTATTTGTTGGGAAATTACGGTTGAGCTTTTCCGTTCATTCAAATACACTGTGCGCAGAATGAAGGACCAATCAATACATATGTCACAGAGAGTATAAAAGGATATCTTTCAATACTTGAAGCATTCACTACAAAAACTAGAATTTAAAAATCAAGATGAAAATTATTATATGAAACGGAAACCGTAACTTCTGCAGAATGTTCAAAAGCAAACTGCGATCAAAGGGCGTACGTAGGCCCTACTCAGAATAGGGGACTAACCAGTCCGAGGGTCAAATATGGCCGACCAACTTGAAAACTTCCCCACGGGATATCTATTCAGTGTCTATTAGCGGCATAGACGGCAAACTTTGTAATGGGTTGCCATATTTGACCCTCGGACTAGTTAGTCCCTTATTCTGCATGGGGCCGACGCACAGATCAACTGCGACAGTAATACTGATCTCAGTTGAGAAATGCCAGAAAATTCAATATTTATTCAAAATCAAGTAGATAACCATAAACCTGATCATAGGTCAAACCTTTTAATCCCAAGCGCCAAAATGTTCCCCGTTCTGAATAATGTAAAAAGTGAAAGTCCTGAGTTACATTGTGTAATGATGCCCAGTCCCACTGCAACTATGATTCTGAGTTCAGATAAGAAAAATCAGAAAAGTCCTCATTTATTCGGAGCCAAATAGATAACCATCGACTTTGTTGCTCGCCAAATCATTCATTCTCTATCTCGGGAGCCGAAAAAATATGCGGCGGAGTCGGCGGCCTGGTCGTAGACAAAATGATTCAGCCCATATGTGAATTCCTTAGCATCAATGATGTTATCACCATCACGGTCAGTGACGTTGAAAATGACTTCATTGTCAGCCGTATTGCGATATATATCAAGGAATTTAGAGTATTCATTGAGGGTTAACTTTTCACTGCAGTCGACGTCAACAATATGAAAAGCGTCCAACGCCGATTCGACTAATTGATTACTTGTTAAGTCTATGTCCTTCTTCAAAGACTCAACCCAGTCCTCAAATGAAATGGATGTCTTATAGTCGGTGTATTCATTCGACCACCATGTGTGATACCCCATGGTCATAGCACCATACACTGCTTTAGCTCTCCATGATGGCAAAACACGTTTGGCACGTTCGGTTGTGGCACCGATGTGCTCCTCTTTTGTGACATTTCCGTCTTGGTTGACGTCCAAGGCGTCAAAGTGCTTTTTGAACTTAGCTACCCGATATCGGGTAAAGTCTTCATTGTTGTCCTGTTTTATCTGAATTGCAAATCGTATTATTTAAAACTCACCACTGAAATAACTGATTTTAATCTTAAAATATTTATCTTAAAAGACAAACCAAGGAATGATATTTTTGCATTTGATTTTTTATAAAACATGTTTTTATTTTCCATGCCCCCTTACTGATGTTAGTAGTTTTATGCATTTTTCACAATAAATCAGGGCCACCCCAGGAATGGTAGTCCCCTGGCGACCGTAGTACAGGTGAAATAAATTTACCGCAATATTCGAGTAACCTGAACCTGTACTAATCATATAAGACTGGGTTCCCACATATATAGATCGATCCATCTGGATCGACCTAACTCCCTGGGGGTTCACGCTAAATTGCTGTCAGCTTCCGAGAGCCGAGCGCGCACAAAAGTTAAATACCCTTTAGAGGTTTTAGTATGCAGGACAGACATTTAAGCCGGTCAGGCTGAGAGCAATCTAGTGAGACTCCCCAGGGGGATAGATCGATCTAAATGTCTGTGGGAATGGTCTCTAAGATCCTAGACGTCCATTCCTAGGACTACCATTCCTGTTAAACCAGTTTGGACTTGGCTGTGGCATCTCAATATGCTAAACCAAAATTAGAAAATGAGTATCCAGGTTTACCTTCTCTCCATACGATGAATCAAATGTTGGAACAATCACAATTAACAGCAGGATTCCAAATTCGATAGAAAACATCCTTATAAATTGTTGGTTTTCCACTATTCTGTAAAAAGCAAATTAATCAAGAATAACAAAAAGCCCTATGAATATCAAGATGATTAATGTGGTGGACTAATGCAAATTGCCAGCTTCAAGTTGGAATCTGCAAAACGGACGTCTCAAATTCTCAAATAAACATGACTAAGACTGGGTTCCCATACCTAGATCGATCGAACATGGTAATTTCAATAAGAATAATTAGCTAACTTGCTGAGTAGGGAATACCCTAATGCTAGTAAGGAAGTCATACTACTCAGAACACATTCAATTAACCTACATGTATGTTACTACAACATCTGTGCATAAAGCAAAATCCACACAAACAATTTGTTAATATACACACACTGGACAAAAGAAGTGTCACCCCCTAACTCAGAGTAATAAAAGTAGGCAGATCTTGGGTAATTATAATGCCTGGTCTACTTATAATGTGACTAATGAGTATAAAACCGCTGTACCATGGGATTGTATTGTTGGTCTTGTAAATGTACAGCAAATGTTATTCCTGTCTTCCTCCAATATGGCAAGATACAGGCAATTATCTAACGGTTATAGGTGCAAGTTATCAACCTGAAGAGGCGGAATATAAGCAATGTCAGTATATCGATACAATTGAATTGTTTAGTCAGAATCGTGCAGAGGGTCTGGTCTCGGTATAGAAACACTGGATCAAGAGACAAATTGCCTCTGATGGGTCGTCCAAGAAAAACTACTGGCCGTGAAGACCGACAACTGATTTTGATGTCCAGGTTGTCAAAGTTCGACACTGCTTGTCAGTTGACAACACAGTGGAAAAATTTCACACATAAGAATGTGTCTGTGAAAATTGCTAGGCGTCGGTTACATGCTCATAGAGTGTACAGCAGGGTAGCAAGACTGAAACCTCTTATATCGTTACAAAACAGGCAACGTAGAGTGAACTAGGGTCAACAGGATCTGGAACTGGACAGCCCATGACAATTGGTCCTATATATTTTTTTCTGATGAGTGTCGCTTTAGTCTGACCTCTGATGACAGACGGGTAGGATGCTGGCGAACTGCTGGTAAAGCATTTGGACCACATGTACTGAATTTTCGAACCCGGAGCAGCATATTCATCATGGTGTGGGGCTGCATCAGCATCCATGGCGTGGGCGAATTGATTGTGGTTGATGAAAACATGAATCACTAGAATTATATCGATGTTTTGGAGTCAGGCTTGCTATCATGTATTACTAACATGTTTGGTGACACGAATTATCCATTTGTTCGCCAGGATGACAATGCTCCTTGTCACAGGCCCAGAGCAGTTGATGATTGGTTTGACCAACAGGGCATTCGCAGGGTGATGTGGCCTGCCCGGAGTCCGGAAGCAAGCATAATAGAAAATGTGTGG